AGAGAGAGAGAGAGAGAGAGAGAGAGAGAGAGAGAGAGAGAGAGAGAGAGAGAGAGAGAGAGAGAGACAGAGAGGGCGACGGCGGTGACTGGCAGGCGGAGCGGCTGAAGACGGCGCAGCGGAGCGGGCGAAGCCGCCGACGACACGACGACGAACAGTGGTGCGGGCGACAACGACGGCGCGCTGCGCGACTAAAAAATGAACACGCGTTCATTTTCATTGAACGTGCGTTCAATTCGTGAACGAGGACTAGGTGGCTCGTCGGTAGTGGGGTAGATGGGGCCAGTGCGTGGCTGGGGCGTCGGTGTCTGCTTTGCGGTGGGCGTTTGGGCCGCGACACGGGAAGGGAGCTCGACAGGCTACGTGACTGTGTGGGACACACCTTTCCGGAACTTGTGTGGGACTGACATCTGCGGGAGTGTTTGACAAAGACAGCGGCGGACGGCCGCGATGGTGCAGACTCAAGCATGAGTGTTCGAGGACGCGGGGGAGGATGAGAACCGCAAGGCAGAGAAGAAGTGTTGCGTGTACAAATACATCCGCGTGGGACAGAATCTTGGCGAGAGGTTCCGCAGGAATCGCATGTTGAAGTGCCTTTTTTGCGGCCACGAATTTAAGGGCAACCAATTCGTGGCGGGGCGCCATTTCCGGCAGGGTAAGGGATGTCCGACGGTGAGTGATGAGGCGCTTGTCGATATACACTACAACACCGACTACAAGCTGGACGGGAAGATCCTTGAGCGGATGCGTCGGTTTGAGGAGCTTCACGGTCCAGCGCCTGCGATGGATCCGCATCCGGACGAGGTAGGGGTGGGACAGGTGAGGGATGACGAGGACGTGATCGACGTGGACAACGTTGTGGAGGGGGGTGCTCGGGCGGGGCCGTCAAAGAGGGACCGAGGGAAGGGCGTTGTCAGCGAGTCAGGGGGGCAGTAAGGCCAATACTTTAAGGATGCGCACGTGTCGGCTCGCGCACAAGCGCATGCGGGTGCAGACGAGGAGGGACCGTCTACAGGGAAGAGAAAGGAGAGAGAGGAGGGGGCGCGGTCGGGAGCGCATAATAGGCTTAGACAAAATACAATGAAGGAGTCGTACTGTTCACAGTGCCAAATGGAGTTCAAGAAGAAGTGGTTGAGGTTTGTCTACAGTCAACATTTGGCATTCAACATCTTCCGGAGCGAGCCCTGGTTGGACGTCGTCCGACACTTCAGGGAATTGCCTGGGCTAGTGAAGGTTTTGTGGCCTTCGGAGAACGAAATTGCGGACATAGAGACAGTTGTCTGCACGACGGACGATGTGGCGGATGATCTCGCGGAGGTCAGGGCTCCTTTCTATGTCACGGGGGCCACCATCATGTCGGACGATAGGAAGTCACGTGATGCTAAGCCCATCGCTAACTTCCTTGCCGGCGGGTCGCGTGGGGTGATGCTGATCCAGACAATGAATAGGGAGGGTGAGCGGGACCAGGCGTCTGATGTTTTGGCGCGCTGGATCAAGGTGTTTGGTGAGTTCCCTCCTAGGTGGGTGAAGGCCATCTGCACCGACTCTGCCTCGGCGTACGTCGCCACGGCGAACATGCTCCAGGGGCCTTAGCAGAGACCAAAGCATCGACGGATTACATGGCTCCCATGCGCAGTGCATGTCTGCAACAAGATGTTGTCAGACATTAGTTGTTCGAGCTCGTGGACCAGGGACATCATCGTGCAGGGAAGAGCGGTGGTGCGCTTCATTTAAGAGGGAGAGATCTCATATGGGTCTTATTTATCCGTGCGAGACACGCTTCGCATCCATATTCGCGATGATGGAGCGTTTGCTGGCAGTGAGGTGGGCATTGGAGAGGACGGTGGATAGCGATAGTTGGGGTATGGTCCCTTAGGACCGTTCCGTTCGTCACTTGGCGAGGTGGGTCAGGTGGCAGGTGCAACATGTCGGACATGGCCCTTGGTGGGATTCCATGACCATCTTGTTCCGTATTATGGAGCCTGTGTATGACCTGCTGCGCAGGTTGGACCGTGGAGGGTTGCATATGTCGCGGGTTGTTCAGTGGACACAGAATGTGACCCAAGAGGTGTTACAGGAGGTTCGCGAACTTCCGTCGGATTCTGCACACTTTATTGTGCAGAAGGTGCAGGCTCGGTGCGCTCACATGTTGGAGTCGGCGCACACTGCTGCTGACCTTCTCTGTCCTAGCCGGCGGGACTTGAGGTACTACGAGGGCGTAGTCAGCGACTACGATGCGAGTTTGGTGAGGGAGGCGGACACTTACATCTTGTCGCAGACAAGGTTCGATGTAGCGAGCCCCGAGTACGAGACCGCATGTGCGCAGTTCTGCGACTTTCACTCACGGAGGGGGACCATTGCGTTGGGGGAGAGGGACGGAGACAGAGAGGCATAGAGGTGCACCGACGATGTGGAGACGTATGAGGCTGGGTGTTGGTGGTCGACATGGGGACAGTGCGCCCCGCAGTTGCAGGTTATCGCGCTTCTTGTGTACATGTGGACGTGCTCCTCTCCCGCGGAGAGGAATTGGGCCATCCACAAGGGTGTACAAATGAAGAAGCGTAACCGTCTTGAGTTTGAGAAGGTTGCGAAGTTGGTTGAGATCTCAGCCAACGTCCGCCTTCTCTCTCATCAGCGGGCAGGCCACGGGTTTTGCGCTGCCGTCACTGCCGTGGACTCTAGATGAGTCCTTATTGGACGTGGAGGCAGGCATTGGGACTCGCCCCTCGTGGAAGGGGACAAACGGCAGGAGAACGTAGGAGGAGCTGGAGTGTCGGAGCCGTTCGTGGCAGCGAGACCCCTGTGGGTCGAGAACTCCTCCAGGTGAGGTTGCAGATGTTTTTGGGACTCGAGCTGCCATATTGCGCCCGTACCCTAGAGATGACGACAACGATTATGAGGGTCGGGAGGAGGAGGACGAGCGGGCGGGCCCCGCTGCTGCGACTACTGCCGCACAGGAGGTTGATGAGTGGAGCGACCCGGACGACGTCCGTAGATGGAGTGGCGGGGATGACTTTTTCGATGGAGTTGATTTGGAGGCCGAGGTGGGCTTAGGGGGTCGTTATGGGAGCCCTGTTGAGCAACAGAGGCCTGCATCACCTGTCCTACGGTCTGCCGAGTGAGAGGGAGTGCATGGGTCTGCACCTTCGAAGGGGGGCAATGTCGGATTGTGGTTGCCCTGTCCTTGGCCAGCGACTGCATAGATTGGTGAAGGGCTCTAGACAACGATTAAAGGAGAGATTAGCGGGTAGTCCTTCCCCGGTCCAGAGGGACGAGAGAGATAGAGAGGGGTCGACTGGTGGAGATGGTGGTGCGTTGGCGGCAGGCGGAGGCGGTGCTGATGTTGCTGCGGTGGTTGGCGGGGATGCGCTTGGGGATTTTGGGGAGTAGGGGATGCCGGCGGGTGGCGGAGGAGGTTTTAGTGAGTTTAGTGATTTAAGTATGTCCCATAGAGAGAGCGAGTCCTGGGGGGACATCAGTTTCGGCATGCAGGCTGTGTTGGGACAGATCAGCGCCCTGCGCCCAGAGTCGTTCTCCCCTACCATGGGCGCGGAGTTGATGTCATCACCACTGGAGGAAGAGGGAGATGAGGACCGCACACCCCCTGGAGATATATCTGCAGAGAGGTTGCATAGGCTTGATAGTCGTCGAGCTTTCCTCGTGGCACAAGGGGACCCCAGGACGTAGGAGTTGGCCCGTGTTGCATTTGAGGAGCGACAGAGATAGCTGGGGATATTCATGCCGGCGTGCGTTGACGTAGAGATAGTTGTCCACATGTATCCTCCTACAGGGGATCCCGATGGGACGCAAGGGGAGGCAGCTTTAGCCCATGCATCGAGGATGGGAGGTGATGTTGAGCAGGGGTCACACGAGACCGGGTTCGCACCCCCAGATGAGCCACGTGTGGTTCCAAACCAGCCTTCTAACGACGAGCAGAGGCCTGAGGACACTTTGCATGAGGGCGCGGGCGTGCCTCTGGCCACAGGTTTGGTTGCGGGTGTCGTGCACACGTCCCTGGGTCTAGAGGAGATACAGACGGGGCAGTCAGTGGGCGTTGATGATGTTCGACCATTTGTACAGGCAGAAAGGATAGCACCGACCACCAGGGTGGAGGAGGACGTCGCGGGGGATGTTGATGTTATGGGGGTGGAGGCGCCTGTTCAGCCTGATCCGATGCACACGTTTGGGGGGCGAGACGGTGCACAGGTCGATAGCGAGGTTATACCCAGAGAGGACGTGAGAGACAGGCATGACGGAGACAGACAAGAGACGCCGCAGACTTTGGTGGTTCGAACGGCTGTGGGGCCAGGGGTGCCACATCAGGCACCGTTTTCGGTGGACCCAGGGCTTCGTGCACATGGCGGTGGCCCGGTCGCGGAGCGACGAGTAGGCAGGGGCACGTGCGCACCTTTGGTCCCTACTTTTGCGTCGTCACAGGAGAGGCCGCAGATTAGGTACGTGGCGATGCCTCGCGTCAGCCTCCCATTTGGATGTATGACTACTGAGGAGTTGGAGGCGCACGGCGGGATGGATTTGACCGAGACCGACAGGCGGTGCTTCAGGAGACCTCCGCAGGCGGGGCGTTTGCCTCACGTGCAGGACTTGTCTTGGGGGCCAGCTAGACCTATCTTACCTTCAGGAGGTTCTGTCGCGGTGCCCTCTCACGACGCAGCAGGGCCATCCTCACCAGCGAGCATAGTTGCGGAAGAGAGCGGAAGTCTCACCCAGAGGTCGACTGCACGTAGACAGAGAGACACTACCGACCATGCGTGGGTGTCAGAGGACAACATGTTGTTCGGTCGCACTGATCGACTATGGAGTGAGACGAGACGGGTGACGACAGCGAGTGCCGCTCGACAGCGAGGTTTAAAAGAGGTCTCCTAGACCGGGAGTCGTCGTGATGTTGTGGCGTCGGGGTTCGGCAGTAGAGGCGGGGATAGTGGTGGCATGCGTGGCAGACGTGAGGGCGCAAGCAGTTTCGCAGTTCACGTACGGTTTGAGAGAGGCATCTATTATTTTACAGGAGCCTGAGGTTGTTACCTTAGCCAGGCAGGCCCGACACGTGCCCTTAGATCGACGCCAGGAGGGGGAGACTTCAGGGGCAGACGGTCTTCCTATGCGTCGCGATTCCTGCCGACATGTTGATCGGGCAGCCGCAGCTATACTCGGAACAGTCAAAGGCAGGAGAGTTATTATGGACGATGACCCCGACGACCCTCCCGAGCCTTCCACTGCCGGACGAGGCGGGCTGCGGCAGAGAGGTCGAGCACGTGGCACTGGCCGCTCACACGGACAGGGTTCTCATCGGTCCAGGCGGGATTCGCATGCAGACGATGATCGTTGATGGTCTACGGACTTGCGTTTTCGCGGCTCAGTCTAAGTGTAGTTTACTTTTTTGTCGTCCATGACCGACGTACTGTTTCGTGATGTTGTGTTATACTCTTCTTTTTATCCGGTAATTTTTACACAGTTCAGACATGGTTTCGTTCGACACTTCGGAGATTATTTCTTTGTAGTTTATTTTTTTGTCTACTTTTCAGCGGGTACTTTTTGGAGTTCATTTTAGTCGGTGTTTTTTGGGATGTTGTGGCGGGTCGTCGCCCCTACATGTCAGATGTATTTTNTTGGGATGTTGTGGCGGGTCGTCGCCCCTACATGTCAGATGTATTTTGCTAGTATCCATACTACGTTGGTTTGCWTTTTGCCTCGATTATATCTTGTCATTTGCAATGTTTGTGTTTCCAGACGATGAGTGTTGCATGTGCGTATATAAGAACAGTGTGTGAACTTGCATCTGTCCACATGAATGGAATGACATTCATGAGAACTACATATATGTGTGCATCGACAATTTCCTCAGACATGGTTTCATTCGACACTTCGGAGATTATTTCTTTGTAGTTTTTTTTTTTGTCTACTTTTCAGCGGGTACTTTTTGGAGTTCATTTTAGTCGGTGTTTCTTGGGATGTTGTGGCGGGTCGTCGCCCCTACATGTCAGATGTATTTT